GTGGTGCTCCGACATGGTCTGTTGCTGTCCACTGGGTGCGATGGCCCTGGGGTTTCCCGGGTAGTGCAGGCCAGGGTCAGCCTTCACCAGTGTTTTGCCTGAGGCACCCTGCCTGAGCTGTAAATCAACCTGAGATGGCTGCCACTTGTGCTGGCTTGGAGAGCCCCAGGTGAAGCCAGGCTGTGACTCTAATCTGACTGTTGCTAGTGTTCACTGAAACCAGCTGTTGCTTGTTTGATAGGATTTAGGAGCCAAGACCAGCCATTCTTATGGAAAAGCAACCTGGGTGGGCCCATAAATTGGGTGGGGTAGAGCCTCTGTGGATCTCCAAGGTGGGTCACACAGAGTTAGCTAGGTTGATGGAGTCTCAGATATGACCGTAGCCTACTGGCTCTGTCGGGGGGAGGGCTTAGCAAAGGGACAATGGCCTCTGCTCATCCTGATGCCAGACACTTCGATCTCTCCCTATATACAACTGGTGCCCTTCAAGCTGCCTCCCAGTGCTGGAGCTCGGAGGGAGCGAGTCTGACTAGGTGAGTCCATGTGTGTGTTCCCCAAGAGGAAGTGCTTAGGGCTCCAGGAGTCTCTTCCACTGTCTTAATTCTCACTATTTTTTGCGGCCAGAAGTGGTGGGGACTTATCTTCCCGGCCCTGGAATCCTGGGCTAGGGGGCCTGGTGTCAGTCTAGGACTCCTCGCTCCCAAGATATCTCTCCCAAATATTCATCCATGTGGGCATGGAGCCAGCCTATTTCTCATCCACATCCCTCCTACTAGTCTCGATGGATGTGGTTTCTTCAATTCCGTAGTTGTCAGGGTTCCATTCAACTCGACTTCTAACATTGCTGGGTGATGGTTGTTCTATATTTTGTTTGTAATTTTGATGTGGTTGTGCAAAGAGGTGAGCCATGCCTCATATTAGCTATTATTATATTTGATTTCCAGGCAAGAAATTCTGATTGGTTGAGTTTGGGCCTGTGTCCATTGATGTCTTAATTTCTTCCCTAGTCATACTTTACATAGCCCATGTACTGTTATGCCTTCAGAGTATTTACTCAGCTGTAATTTAATATTTGACCGAGGATTGTATTCACCACTAGGACTATCTGATTTTGCTCACCATTCTATCTATCATCAATGCTTATCACAATGGTCAAACCCTCCATGAAGCATAACTCTAGGCATACCATTTAAACTGTAGTCTTTGTGCAACATTATAGCTTGATGATGGTCAGATCCCAATAAATATGCTGAATGAATGTTCCAACTCATTATGGCTGGGGGTGCAGTTGGTGGCTGCAGAGGTTTACTCTCATGAGCGGGGAGGCAGATTTGAACAAAGAGGAATAAACTGTAAAGAGAAATCTCCAAATGTACCCACAATGGGCTTCATACACATACCATGTATACTGGGCTCTGAATAATTTCATGTGTTTTCTCATTCTGGGATCCCAGCTGAAGGAGCAGCCACTCTATGAGAATAATATTCTTGTGGCAGAAGGCAAGAGCTCAAGGCAGTCAGAAGAAGTCCTAAAGCACACAACATATTCAAAGCTTCTGTTCCAACATGGTCAAAGCAAGTCACACAAGCTTGAAAGCAGTGAGGCAGACAAGTCCACACCACTATAGGAAAAGGTGGCAAAGGTGGGGAGGAAACAAAAAGTTGTAAATGAATAATGCAGTCCACCACATAGATCCACTGCAATCAGCTCCAAACCAAAATCCCAAAATTTTCGTGGGACCTGACCAACTAACTCTGAAATGTCTATGGAATGAGGGCTAAGAGGGCTAAGGATGCTTGAGATCCTTATGAAGATGAAAAAGAAGTTAAGGGTAGGACTTTCGTGACCAGAAGATTTAATATAAAACCACAGATTTTCAGACAGTATGGTACTAGCTCAAGGATAGGCAAATGGCACAAAATAGAGAAACTAAACAGACACATACATACATGCAAACCCATGATAAGTTACCTCTGGCATTGCAAATGAGAAGAGAAATAAATTTCAGGTGGAATGTAGACTTAAATGTGAAAGGTAAAACTTTTAAACTTTTGAAAAAGAATATTGAAAAATATTTTTATATCCTCAGGGTCAGGAGAGATTTCTCAAAACACATAAAACTGGGTAAAAGAGAAAATAAGAATAGTTATTAAACATTAAAAGTGCTTGATGGTGATTGGGGAAATACAAATCACAACCATAATGATAAGTTGTTTCACATCCCCACACATTTAAAAAAAAAAAAAAAAAAAGCACTGGCAAAGATGTGAGCAAGGGGACTTTCCTCACACTGCTGATGGGAATGAAAATTGGCATAACCCACTCAGAAAACAATTTGCCTTCCCAGGTAAATTTGAACACATACATACCTTGAGACCCAACAATTTCACTTCTACACATATATTCTTTCTTTTAAAGATTTTATTTACTTATTTTTAGAGAGAGGGGAAGAAAAAGAGGAAGAGAGGGAGAGAAACATCAATGTGTGGATGCCTCTCGTGTGTCCACTACTGGGGACCTGGCCTGCAACCCAGGCATGTGCCCTGGCTGGGAATCTAACTGGCAACCTGTTGGGTCACAGGCTGGCACTCCATTCAGTGAGCCACACCAGCCAGGGCTACATATATTTTCTTAAAAACTCTCGCACACATGCATCAGGAGAAATATTTAGTAATGTTCATACCAACATTTTTGCAATAGCAAAAACTGGAGCCAACTCAATGTCCAAATGTAGACTGGAAAAATTGTGGTATCTTCTCACAATGAAATACTGTATAGCAGAGAAATCAAAAACCTGAATCTCAAAGAAACAGAACAGTGAGTGAAAAAGGCAAGTTGCCTATGAGTCACATAGAATGATTCCATTTACAGAAAAGTTCAAAACCAGGTAAAACTGAACAATGTCATGTTTAAGGATACTAAATAGATCCATGATAAAATTATTGCCACAAATTTTAGGATAGTGGTTTCCCCTGGAGGAGGGGAATATGATCATGGAAGGGCACGTGAAAGATTTCCTGAGTGGAAGCCTAAGCAAGGGCAGTTTTAGGAAGTAGCAGGGATAGAAGCCAGAATGAGGGGCTGAAGGACAATCTGAAGCTACCAATGTGAAAGTTAGCTACTACAGTCAACTTATTAAAGAAATGTCCCTGGAAATCAAATCAGATCATACCCTCACAGAGCAGTTAAAGTTACTGGCAGAGCAGCCTTCTTTCTCTGGAGGCCAAAGGAGAAGTTGGTGGGATGGATTTATGAGGCTCACTGTGATTGAGCAGGACAGCGGGGTGAGGACAGAACTGCGGGCTGAGAGCCTTTCTCATGTAGAGAGATGTTTAGGAGTCTCCTTTCATTCGTTGCCCAGAAACTGTGTGCCCACTTGGAGATAAGCAAGCAAGATCTCCAAGCAACTCTCTCATGCACCGCTTGCTTTGGCACTTGTAAGGTCCCCCTGCCAGGAATCCTCATTCATCAAGGTCTGGGAACAAATGCAGACCAGTCAGCTCCCAGGAGCATTCCCATATCTTACAGGCTGGCTTCGGCATCCTGTTCGTTTCAGCAGAATTAATGAGTGATTGCTCTGCCTGCCCATAAATGTAACTTAAAACTCCATCTCATTGCGACTTTATGATGATGTTATAAAATCCTCCCACAGGAATAGAGCACTCTGGATCTTTGAAGGCTTATTTAAGGGACTAACTAGAATGACTCTCTAATATGGAAAAAATGTAACAAGAAACGACCTGGTTGAACAGTCATGCACACATATCTTGACTTTGGGGATTTCACTTAGAACTCCGTGGTACCCTCCTGGCAGAGAAATTTAAAGGTGCTGATGGGCAGGGGAAGGAATTGTGTTTTCCTAATAGGGGTTTCCAGATGGGGGTGACAACGATGGGGAACAAATCTGAAGAAGGTCAAAGGACACTCAGAAGACACTCTTCCAAGTAAAACTGAAGCTCTGATTAGGGGGTGGGAGAGGGAGTTCCAAAGCACTTAACTTTCCCTGGTATGTGTAGGGGCTTTTTATTTTTATTTATTTCTTTATTTTATTTCCCCTGCCTAATGCTCCCTGAAGGAGAGAAGGAGACAAATATGTTAAGAAAAAGGAGGAGATCATCATGTTTCTTTCCACCTGAAAACCTGGCCTATTTCAGAGGGGATAAGAAAAATAAGGTTCAAAATAAGCTTGTCCCAAACCTCAGATGAGACTGAAGCTCCACTCTAGGGTTCCAGCTCTATGTGTGGAGAGCAGATAACCAGCCTTGCTTCTTGAAAAAGGTTCAGTGAGATCCCATGCATTCCTACATTCACTCAGTAATAGTTTATTGAGTGCTTACTACGTTCAGGAACTCTTCTAGATATTGAAGAGTTGTGAAAGACAGACAAAAACAAGAGCTAATGGTATGTCAGGTGTGCTTTGTATATAGGAGTCAGGAAGACCCAAAGATTTTGCTGGTTTCATATGGATGGGTCCATCAAGTTATTTGGAACACAGGCTTCTTTTTCCCCTCCCCAGTTCTCTAGATCATTGAACATTGTTGTTCACTTCCATTGAGTGTAGTCAACAGTTAAGTGAAATACCGGTACATTGAAATAGCCACTTGGCCACACACTGATGCATGGTCTCTTCTCCCAATTTCCCTCTTCCTCTAATAAATCTCCTGGCAACCCCTGTCCCGAAAACCTCACCCCACGGCAGCCCCCTTTCCTCACACTCTGAGAAGGTGACCTGTCCGCCACCTGGCCAGCCAGGACGAAAGGGGCATCGGCCCCTGCCTGGAGTGGGCGGCAGACCAGGGCCTTGGGACCCCACCTCCTCTGGCCCCCACTGTGCCCCCGCCGACCGCTGCGGGGCGCTGCGGCCCCAGTTTAGGAGCCGCGGTGGGGCTGGGCGGGGCGGAGGGCCCAGCGGGCGGGCAGCAGGCTCGGCCACAGGTAACTTGCGGGAGCGGGAGCGCAGACTGGAGAGCGGGCTACTGGAGGCAGCGGCGCTGGGCGGCGCCGAGGCCCAGGGGCCGCGGGAGCCAGCGGGAGCCCGTCCCCATCGTCTCATTTCACCCCCAACCCTGTCCCCGGCATCCGTTCCTGCAGAGGGGACGTCCAGCGCGGGAGAAAAAGGTACAGTTCGATCTGAGAGCCTCGCCCGCCACTCCTGGGACCTCTGATCTGGGGAGGGCGATGTCGGGGATGGGAGCGCTGCGCGTTCAGCGCCCCAGATCACCATCTACTTGGGGAGGAGTCTTGGAGCGCCTTGCCTTTTTCCTGCGGCCTCAGGGAAAGCCAGGGCCGGAGGGGTCTTCCTGGGGCGCCTCCCTTATCGCTTTGCTTCAGTTACCTCCCTACCTCCCTAGAATATAGAACTTGGGGGGGGGGGGAGCAGAGAACTTTATTGTTTTTGCTTGTTCCCCTCCCTTTCCTCCAATGAGTTCAAAGAGTTTGAAGAAAGTGGTGGTGGTGGTGGAGTTGCGGGGGTCGCCAGGTGTTTCTCCCAGGTGCTGTTTGCAGGCGCGAAGGAGGGTCACCTCTCATCGCCTGGCGCTCTCTGCCATCCCTGGGCCTTGGGGCCGGCCTCTGAGTGACCAGGCTCGGCTCGGACTCACCAGCATTCTTCCTCCCTTTCCGTCAGAGGGTGCGGGAGCTGGAGAGTGGGCTGTTCTCCTGTCGCAGAAAGACCTGCTCTGGCTGGAATTAAGCTTTGTAGAGTTAGCAAGTGGCATCTCCCAGACCAGAGAAAATCATCACGTTGTTTGGTTTGAGTTCAGATTCTTGTTTTGGGAATTTCAGTGGTGCTTCCGGTAGATTGGGGGGCGGGAGGGGAAGTGGAGGTGTGACCCGCGAGGGGCTTCAATTTCATAAAGCTGGTCAAGAACGTTTTTCCCTGAGGCTCGGTTAGATGGTTCAAGTAGTGGTTAAGAGACCCGCTTTGGGGTCATGAGATTGAGTCCAGATGCCACCACTTGTTATGTATGTGGCTTTGGAAAACCCCCTTATTTGAACTTTAGGTTTTAGAACTGTACATTGGGTGTATTATGCATAACCTGATAGTATTGTTGTGGAAATGAAATCATGCAAGTAAAATGCTTGCCAGAGTGCTCTTGAATGTTAGGCGTCCTTTCTTTGTACCTGTTGGATGATGATATTCATTCATGTTTAGGTAATGTTAGTGGAAAGAACCTAGGCAACGAAGACAGGAACACCTGGGTCCAGCATGGTCCCACACTGTCCTGATTGCTCCTGAGGTGAGATCTCCCAGCTTTAAAATAGCAATAGCAACCTATTTGTCTTACCCTTCGGAGGTGCAACTATCCATGTTTAGCTTCTATCATTTCTAGCAGGAGTTTTTTGTTGTTTTTTTTTAATTGACTATAAGTTACAATCAGAAGAGTTTTCTATCCTCAGGATCTTACAAGGGGAAAGGAGAGTAGAAGAAGATGAAAAAGAATAAGAGACACACACAAAAAACCCCCAACTAGTTGCATATTGTTTGAATAGTATAAATCAAGAGTGATAAAGAAATGCTAGTTTGTTAACTCCTTGTTTGTGGTCGGTAGCACCAAAAAGAACCATTGCTTTTTTCTTAAATTCATCAACCTCTCCAGAGCCTGTCCAGATAAGCATATAGTGAAGTAAAGACATGGGTTTTCAGTAAACTCTGCTTAGAGAAAAGGCACATTTCTAATTTCCAAGACCCTCCTATATGGGAATTCTCTTGCTACTACTGTGAAATGTACAAGGTCTATCCAGAAGGTATCCAGCCATGTAATATGAAAAATGGAGACATATATTGAAGAAGATACAAGATACAAGACATAGTACATATGACAATGACACCTTAGTCCCCTTCAAAGTAGGCACCTGGGGCCTCCCACAGTTCTCCCAGTCACCATCAGCTGCCCCGTCATATTTTCTTGAATCTCATTGATGGTCTGAAATTTCTTCCCTTTCAAAGGAGATTTTAGTTTTGGGAAAAGCCAGAAGTCGCAGGGCGCCAAATCTGGGCTGCAAGAGGGCTGAATCACCTGGGTGATTAAATGTTTTGTCAAAAAAACCTGTGCATGAAATGTGATGCATGATTGAGGTGCATTGTTGTGATGAAGCTGCCTATCACCAGTTGCTCATAGCTGCAGCCTTCTGAATCATCTGAATAGTTTCCATGGAGGACTGTTCAAGCTTAAGGCAAAATTTGATGCAGATTCGTTGCTCTAGTGGCTCAGTCATTTTGAATGTGATGGCCACACAGTACACATGCTCATTCAACAACATCTACTGCCCTTACTGACTGGTACAGTGAAGTCATCATTGCTCATGCAGGCTTACTCCGGTCCACTCTCCTTGGCTGTCAGGTTTACATCAATGTTGTACAAACCATTCACCTTCTATTAACAATGGCTGGACTTTTTCTGGGCCGACTTGTACATTCAGAAAGCATAAAACTTAGAGGTACAACTTAAAGAATAAGAACAGAACACACACGCAAGTGTCCATCACCCTCCTGAAGAACTGGAGCATCCCCAAGTCCTTGGAGCCCGCTATACCCGTCCCCATAGCATCCACTCACTTCTCCCCACAAGGAACCACTAGCCTGGATTTGTGTAAATTTTCCCCTTGCTTTTTACACTTAATATCTGATATGTGTTGACCCCAAGAAATAAGATAACTGCCAAGGACTCCTGGTGGCTAACTGGGCTCAAATTTAAAAACAGAGCCTAGCAGCCATTCCTAAACAGTGACTTCTCACACAAAGACATACTTCAGAGAGAAGCCTACACTAAATTGGTTGCCTCCCACACTGAACTGCCTGTTTGCACTGTATATGTGTCATCTGAGCCAACCCTTATAAAGGAGTTCTTGGAATCCCATTTCAACCAATAGGCCTGAGGCTTTCTCTGTCTAATCAGAGCTGTGTAGCTATATTCACATTAGCATTTTCACTAACCAATCAAAGAAGCTCTATTTTGACCAACCAGAACAGTGCTTTAATTTTTCAATTAAAAAAATTTTTTTTGAACAGTGCTTTTTTTGGACCAATAAAACTGCGGGGATTTGGAGCCCTCGTTTTCATGAGGATGGATCAATCAGGGACCAGGGAAGGGAGTTTCTTTCTATGTAAGTTAGTTCCCCTCTGGCTCAGAGAGTGCACTATCCCTTTCCGCTGGAGACTGAAGACTGCCAGTTAGCTGAGCTGGAGCTGGAGCTGAAGCTGAAGCATGGAAGATAGGTTAGCACAGCAGGACAGAGCTCTCTAGCCAGAGAAGGGCCTCACTCCAGGCCCTCCTCACAACTGTGCTGTTCCTCAACAGTTCTGTTTTATAACTGAGGTAACATGATTGAGCTCACAGCTGTGCTGTATCACAGTTGAGTTGTTTGCACCGAATAAAGTTTGCTTCTTCATAGCACCCCAAATTTTAAACACCTCAAATTTGATATTTCTGCTAAATTTGTTTTTAACAACCGTCGGTTGACATGGGAAAATCTCTGGGGGTGGGAAGTTTCCAAACGGGCATTGACACCATAACCGGGAGCACTCGTACAGGACTTAAAAGAACGATACTGAGAGTGAGATGTAAACCACAGAAAAGCTGATGGGGCGGTCTGTCAAGCCCTGGCTCCCCGCTTGCCTTGGCACAGGTGGGCGTGTTCTGTCTGCGTAGGGGAGGCCCAGTCTCTTCCAACATAGCTTGGAGGCTATAATTTTGAAAGCTCTGCTTGAGTACCTAAGAATTAGAAAAAACAGTAATTTGCGTGCATGTGTTTTAGAAGTCATTTTAAAAAATACAAATTATCCAGGGGACGCTGTGTGGGATTGGAAGGATTAAGCCAATCGAGAGTGAACTTTAAAAATGGTCTTAATCCAAATTCTTCTTTTTCTGATTATGATATTTGTGTTATGGACTTTGTTTTAAGTCGAAGCAAAGATTCCTAAATTTGGTTCATGGTGCCCTTAGTATCTCTAATTTTTCATGCCCTAGTGTAAGTAGTAGTCAGGTTCAAACAACATAATAAGTGTTTGTGTCAAAACAACATAGAAGGTGTTTGAAAAAATAATACATGTAATTGAAAGAAAAATATATTTTTAAAGATTTTATTTTTAGATAGAGGGGAAGGGAGGGAGGAGAGGGAGAGAAACATCAGTGTGTGGTTGCCCCTCATGAGCCCCCTACTGGGGACCTGGCCCGCAACCCAGGCATATGCCCTGATGGGAATCAAACCAGTGACCTTCTGGTTTGCAGGCTGGCACTCAATCCACTGAGCCATACCAGCAGGGGCTGAGAGAAAAATATTTTTACTATTATTCTTAAATAACCACAATTACCAACAGGATGTGTCCGTACTATTTCTCAAATCTTGGGATCAGATTGGATATCACCGCTTTCATTTCCTGTTCCACATTAATTTTTCTGCAGCACTTGCTTTTTTAGCACAGCAACCACTGAAAACCCAAACTTTGCAAAGATATGATGTCATTGACAGGAATATAATATGATTTGATGTGGAGACTGTGAACTACTCCCAGTCTTTAAGTTCAGCAGTGCCCAACATGTTAAGTACAGTATGTATGTTTCTCTTGAAATGTTTAAATAGCTTAAGTTGCTACAGCTCCCAGAGAACTGGTGTACAGTTTGGGAATTGTTGGTCTAAGGTGAAGCCCCCTTCGGGGGAGAGAGCAGTTACTAAGAAAAGGTCTGCTGAAATAGCCCCAGGTTAAGCTTCTGTGTGGAGTGGGCTAAGTCTTGGTTTTCTCATCTATATAAAATGGAATGGTGAAAGCCTCTTGTAGGGTCTTAAGAGAGTTAAGTTAGATCATGTATATAAAAGCATCTATAAAGGACCCGCAATACACCAGTCTCAAGAAATGGCAGCTTTTTTATGATTGTTAAATAGTACTAAATATCCAGTATTAGGTATGTATCGTTGTACCTATTTAAGAAGGGCCAGTGCCTGAAATCTCAAGCTTAGCACATAGATTATGAAGTAGTTCACATTATAAAATGATTCCTCATTTTTTAAACAGCAAACTCTGATGTACGACTGTGGCACTCGGTGACTTTTGCACCATTGTTGCAGCGCTCATTTTCACTTGCCAGTGTGTGCCCTGGCTTGAGGGGGGAGGTCATTAC